ATTTTGCGATATTGCTCTTGAACTGAATTTTATGGTTTAAGTGCGAAGACCATGATATTTAATAAATAAAGGTAGCACACAAAATGTTAAAAAAGTCCCTCTGAACGTAATTTAAAATCTGAAACCTTTCAGATTTTTTTTATTAAGAATTTACCTTTATTTAAAGCAATTTCAAATGAAAGACAAGTTAAATTAGCTACGTAAATTTAATTAGTTTTCAAAGCAAAAAGAACGCACTGTAAATAACGGCAGAACGTCATTAGAAACGAAGGAATTAATTTATAAATGGCATTAAGGAATGATATTTACTAAAGTACATGCGGCTATCGCCCAGGAGCCTGATTCAAGTGTCTCTTGCACCACTTGATATCATTGGGTTCAGACTTGCGTAAAACAGTCAGTTAGAATTGCTTACGTTTGACAATTTTTTCGCCTTTTTTTCTTTTGTAAAGTTCGATGAACTTGTTTTGAAAAATTGTGTCTCGTCATTTAATGTCCTCTTTGTCTGTCCCTTCATAGGCCGCAACGGTGGCCCACCTGTTAGTGCCTCCATGATAAAGTGACCACCGCTTCCGGCTTTAGTAGTGGCCGCACTGGAAATTAAGGGGAAAAAAAAGTCTTGTCCTTCTAAGTAATCGAGAAGACAATACAGCAAAATTATTTGAAATAATGACACTATTTATTATTTATCACAAAAAATACTCGATAGTGAAATGATCATCGGCAAAACTTGTGTATATAGGCGGTGTGAATAAACTAATTAGAATAAACAGCAAGCCAAGACTAGGGCGAAAGGAGCGAAGTCAATTAGGGCAGCGCCTGTTTGTTTCTCATTATCGAGGCGATGCTCCTGCTGTTCGTTTTTGTTTACATTACTCTTGTATATCGTACTAGACAACGCGGAATGCAAAATTAATTAGCTCTGCACTTTTCTATTGAACCGAATGATTTAAAAGTGTTTTATTACATTCCATATTACGATCAGTTACTCCCAAATGCTATAACATCATTTGTTAACGTTGTTATTCCATGCTTTTCTTAAACAATTCTATTTTATTTCAGTTGCCTGAAATGGTAATTTTTCCATGTTTTGCAATAAACAAACTCTTTTTAGGGGGGTTTGGTTAGTTACAACCAGGTTAATGCATCCTGCCCACCCCTAGTTAATTATGAGTCTGCTATAGTTACAAATGCCTTTTGTGAAGAGGGAATATAATGCAAATAATGATGTTTTAATGCAGAAATTATCTGGTAAATTTAATTTGAAGGAGAAGTTTTCGTACGTCGCTGACCGTATGAAAACCAATGCGTATTTACTCTTATGTGCGTAAAACTTGAAAAATAGCAGCTCTACCGCGGAAACTACCGCTGAAACATATCTGAAGCTATCAACATTGAAAGATTTTAGTCCTTATTTTTAATTCTTAGAAATTTCATCTTTTATTCTAAATATCCTTAGGCCACCAGCGGCCGAGCGGTAAAATGGTGGTTCGGTCCGGGTTTCGAATTCCGGTGAACGGGCTGACTGCATGGGCGTTTTCGTGGTTTTCCCCATGTATAACGTGGATACGAGTCGGTTTCCCTCATAAATTCTTCCACGAAGAGAGTCCTATTGTGCTTTGCCACAATTAACTAGACCAAACCAATCTAAATATCCTAGACTTAGTTGTGACGGCAAAGCACACGAGAGTTATCTGCCTAAGGGAAGAGATGCCTGTGTGAAGGACTTTCTGAGAGAAATTGTCTCGTAATACTCGTTACACGTGGGAACAAAGCCCATGCAGCCAGGCCGATTGCCGGAATTCTGATCCCGGACCAAACTACCAGTGTTCAGCGACTCAACCACTTGGTCGCTGTTGACTTCTAACTACTCAAGGAAAATTGCTTTTATGGAGGATTATTGTAAAGGATCTGAGCTGTAATCTTTCGTGCATGGAAAAAACCGAGGTTACTATGCTATAAGATTTTGCTTTTGTTACGCCATTGACTCCGGTGTATTTAAAAGCAACTCCTACTTTTGTATCTTCGTTTCTCCCATTTTTGTAAGTAAATGACGCTAGCGTTGGGAAAAACGTAACCTTATTTCTTTTGACCGTCGACAAAACCACGAAAATGTTATGTAGCTAGCCCGTTGACCGTGAACCAAGTGAAGGACGAACTGTCAGTGTAGAGCGGTTTTACACTTTCGGACAGTGTTAGATCCCTCTTAAGATATGCAGAAATGTATTGTCAACTTGAACTGGATGCTAGCTGAAGTTTCATTGGCAACGTTTCTTTCTTTCTTTTTTTTTTCTTGCCAAGAAGAGGGATATTATTCCTTTAAAAACTTCAAAACCGCTAAACAGGTATAATTAGCAAATCTACAGAAATCTCATTAAATATTTTAAAAATGTATGGGTAACACGAAGATAACAATAAATTATTTAAAGTAAAATATTTTTAACTATTATATATGGAAACATAGGCATTTTTAATTACAGAAAACAACAAATCTGCTGTGGGACAACATTTCAGTTTAATCTAATTAAATCAAGCGAATATCTAGTTTAAGTTTTAAATATAAGTAAAGTTTAAATCTAAGTTTCAAATCTAAGTTCACTCTCGAACGAACTCCCGAATCCTTTGTATTATACTAAACATTTTATGTCACGGCAGTGTGTGCCATATCAGTTGAATCATCAATTAAAAGGCGGTACAAGTGCCAAAATTTCAAAAAGAAAGAAAAAAAAAACTACTGTAAATATTTTCTAGAACAAATATGTCAATCGAAAGATAGAAACAAATCAGTTCCTTTAAAGGTTTAAAACGAGCTAAGACTATTTTTTTTTCTAGTATGATAAAGGAATGGAATCTGATGTTTTTATCCCGTTCTTGACAACTTATCAGTTCCTTAGATGAGTTTACTAACAAATCAGCTAACAAACTCTTTCGGCGATGTTATTTACGTTCAGCACTCAACAGCTTCTTATCAGAGATTACTAATGTATAAATTGACCTAAATGTCGAGTATACATCTAAATATCGAGTTTTGTTTCTAATTTTGCAAACAGCGATATTAATGGCTAACTTCCTGGACTTAAGAAGAAGACTGTAGTGATAACTAGAGAAATTACTGGCCTAGCCCATAAAAAGTGCATTTCGCACGTGTCCTTGAAAAGGATACTTTGCATTCCGACACTTAACAGTCGAACTTTTCCATTTTTCGAAGAAATCAGCATATAATACTGCTATGAATCATACGTCAACGCATAAACGTGACACGTTGAAACGCAAAACGCACACAAAATTGTCTCGTACGCTGCCGACGTACACGGAAGAAATTCTAATCTGTCTAAATACTTCCACACTGATGACGTTGGTTGAGGTACATGTTTGGTTGAGCTTTTATGTATACTTTCATATTTTTGTTTACGTAACTGCTTTTGTAGTTTCAGTATAAGCTTCCTGTTCATCAACAATTTTATAATTTAAATTGCATCCTTCTCTTGCGTTCTAGTATTAAGTAGAAGATGGGAACAATCTATTTTTGGTAAGTTAAATACAACTGCTGACCATTAAAATTACTACACCTGGAGAGAAAGAAAATAGCATTCAGCGTACCATTATATTATGGTAGGACACACACCTGCCACCTTTGTCAGAAAGTTAAATTGTAATATGGTTTGGGCAATGAGCCAAACTGATCTTAGATAGCTTCATTCCATCCTTCGACTCTGTACACCAGAGTTCATGGATATTCTGTGCCAGTGGTCAGCTGTAGTGGCTGGCGAGTGGTGGCAGGTCAATCTGTAGGCAACAAATGTAGAGATGTTTTTAAATGGGTAGAGATCTGGAGAATGTGCTGGGCAGGGCAGTAATTGAACGCCTTTTGTATCGAGCAAGATCAGGATAGCACGGACAACATAGAAATTTAACGACATCAGCAAACATTACCGGGCATGCGAACAAGACATGACCGAATATATACCCAGCGGCACTCCATAGCAGCACACCAGGTACCGGGTCCGTATAACTATGATGAATGCAAGCTGACAATTGTTCTCTTCGGTGGATCCACACACCAACACGTCCATCATGATGTTGTACGCAGGACAAGGATTAATCTGAAAAGACGACATGGTGCCACTTTTGTGTCCAGTGTTATCGTTTGACTCACCTATGAAGGCGCACCTGACTCTACTGCATCGCCAAGGGAAGCCGCATGGACAATCTGTGGTATCGCAGACGTCGTCCTACACGCAAGCTAAGTTCCTGGCTTTAGGTACGTGATGTGGTTAGACGATCCTGCAGTGCAGAGAGGGTAATGTGTTTGTTCTCTTAGGCGTTGGTGGCTCAAAGCCGCTGACATCTTGATTCAGTATGGCCCTCCTGAACCTATCGATTCCATATTCGGAAGACAGTCATGTGATCTCGGCCAACAGGAGCAGAAATGTAGCAGAACGATAAACCGCAGTCCTGACAGACCATGACCCTGTAGAATTTCGACCCAGGTTGTTAGAAGCTGCTTCTTTTTGCACGAGACATCAAACGAATTTTACACTATCGATCAACGTCCAAGCGATTCCCAAAGTGCTATCTTTCCATTTATACACAAGATAGCTGTTTTTTCGCATATGATGGAATGATAGTCGTTTGCAGATGTAGCACCTGTCATGAAATTTAACGTTTATTGCATGCCCTTCTTAGTGGTGTAGCAATTGTAATGTACAGCAGTGTAATATTGAGTTTTGGTAACCGTAAGGCCTTTTGGACAAGCTAAAACGAGATACAAAATGTTCTCCACAAACTTTTTCTAAAATGCCAAACTATAGCTACGTAATAGAATATCATTAGAAGCATATTTTACTAACGAAAAATAAAGCTTAATGTATTTAAATTCATAAAAATTATATTTTAATCAAAATATATGTCTGAATTGTTTAGAAAATTAATTATTGCTTTTTTCGTTAAATTCATAATATTTGTATGTAAATAATTATGAATTTTATTTTTTAATACAGCTTTCAGTTTTTCGGCGTTTCAATTTCGATGAAATTCCTAAGCATGGAGACAAATTACTAGAAACTATCTTCCTCACGAATTTTAAAAAGACGCTCTTCGGTCAATCAGGTACTTGTTTTAAGACTTCTTAATTTTCAACAAAAACTGTGCACATATAAATGTGGGATATGTGCACATATAAATGTGCATATAATTGTGGGAAAAACTGTGCACATATAAATATACCGAGAGTATTAATCTTTTGGAAAGTATGAATAAAAGTTAATCAAATCAGTATCTTCACATCTTTGAATAAGATTATAAGTGTTTTCTCCCTCATTTTCCTCATGCCTTCACATGGTGTAACTGGAAGCACACCCGAGGTGTATTCGGATGCTCTGGATCTCGAATCCCGCGAGGGCTCTGTGGATTTCTTCAATTTCCTCCCTTCAAAAAATTCTAAAAGACTCTACAATTGGCTCCCAAAGAAAAAGGTGGGGGTCGATAATTTGTCACCACCAGCATTTGGCGAGTACGGACCCTTAATACCCAGTCGCCCTGTAAAAGGGGGAGTATATAAGGTATTTTCTCCCTCCTTTCCGTATTACTTCGTGGTGTAATAACTGGCAGCACGCTCGACTAGTATTCGGGAGGTCCGGATTTCGAAACTTGGTGAGGTCATTGCACAGTTTCACGTTCCTGCATCGATGTAAGCAAGCTCCATTTGTAGACTTTATGAGACGTTACTCAGGTTCGTTTTTAATGGTAATGAAAATAATGTAAACTCCGATTCCAGATCATTAAAATTTAAAGCCCTTTAAACACATTTTTGTTATAATAATGTTAACTTATCTACGGGAAACGTATTCGCGGCCAAGTGAAATGCTTCGGAAGTCCCACAAGTTTGAGATCACTGGTCTAAAACAAGTATGTCTGATAATTTACGAAATTGATTCTTTTCTTTTATTTTGCTTGCCTGTAGTCCAGTTCCTTTTAATCTGTCACAACAGCCTGCAAACCTTCCCCGAATATTGTAGATTTTTCAGATTTTATAATATGTTCAAAAGCGTGTTTTTTTAACGTTTTGTATGTTACCTTTATTTATTAAATATCATGTTCTTCGCACTTAAACTATAAAATTCAGTTCAACAGCAACATCACAAAAAAATAAAAATAAATAAATAAATAAACCTCACCCATAAAACATTCGTGCTTGAAATGCACGCGATGTTAATGTTAATGGAAGGCTTTGAAATCGTTGAGTTTGTTAATCAAAAATTCGTTAAAGTTTTACAAAATATGAAATAGGTAATGAAACAATTTCCAAATCTGGGCCTCCAGATACCCATATTCGAGTGGAAGACTACGTTGTTCAAAATGTGATGTCTTTAGGTACCGTTGCTTTTTCACAGTGCGAGAAACATGCATACATACATACATACATTCATTCAGATTCTTCGTTATTTAATTTCTTTAAATATAATGCAGACCTCTGGTGTTTGGTGGGAACGATTTGAAAAGTGATTGACTTTTATAGTGAATCAACGCAAAATGCCAAAACGAAATTAATAGCCCTTCTGGGCAAGTTGCCCCTTTGGACTAAAGAGGTCAGAGCAGAATAAAAGGATGAATGAAACCTCCTTTTAGTAAAAGCACGAGTTCTCTTCGGATTTCTTTCATATACTGAAAACGTACTACCTTGGCAACTCTTTCACAAAAGAGAAATGGCATCAAAGAGAACTTTCAAAAGACGGGCATATCCTGTAACTAATTACAGCGGTAATCCTAACTGATTTTACATTCATAATGTGAGTGCGAAACCTTTCAGAAACTTTCCTAGAAACATTTCCTTTTTTACATAAAATGTTTCTTGTCTCTCGCACTTCAGAAACCTGTCACATGTTACTTTTCCTTCCTTTTAATTTCCTGCACTCTGACGGTATTCTGAAGAGATTTTTATTTTATGTCTAGACATCTTCACAGAACAAGTTTCAAACACCAGTTACCTCCTCAAAGCAAATGCAATTTACGTATTCATTTGCACAAAATGTTTACTTAAAAAGTACTTTCATGCAAGTCCTACTACTCAAAGAAAAATATTTTTTGTTTAATTAATTAAATAGTTATCTAGTTAATCAAAATAGTAAGAGACGTTTACTTAATTAACTAGTATTTGTTGATATTATTAAAAGAAAATAGCATGTTAATCGAATTAGCCAGAAAAGAGCTAAAAGTGGAAAATACATCAAAATCATCAAATCATGTAAAATCAAATATTTCATTCAGTGCTTCTAATATATCATTGGAAAATATGTTTACTCGTAAAGTTCTATACATGATATGCTTTTTTAGACCTATATAATAGTATATGAAACAATTGTTTTATAAATTAATAATATTCTGGTCAATTTTTTAAATGTACATTAACACGTTAAGCGCCTATTCTATTTTGTATTTCTTTTAGTTTAGCCTGTGATATCCGATTTGTAGAAATTGATATAAGGCAGATACGATAAAATAATACAGCTTTTTAAATCGTCAGTCAACAGTGTCTGAGGCGGCCTGAACACAAAATGTACTCTCATTCACTAGTAAGTGACGCAATCTGAACTGAAAACATAGTGTCGCCGCTCAAGCAGGATAAAGATTAGCGACGCTGACTGCCATGCCGAAAGAACCGGGTTCGAATTCCGGATGCTTGTAAATGTATAGTGTCTGTGCGGCATGGGAGCACTGTAAACATGTGACGAGCCGAAATTCCTCTAGAGAAATTGATGGTAGGGGAAGAGGGGTGAGGGGCTTCGAACCCGTACCCCGGCTCGTTGGGCTGTCACCTATATGGTGCTCGAGGCTGTTGCCAGCGACAGATTCATTTGACTTCGTGTCACGATGAAGGTCATGGACTTGTGCGTGCTGACCTCTGTCAGACAAGAGAGATTGGTAGCAGCATCAACAAGTTTGATGTCAGTGACCGATGACTAACGCGTCGGACTGGAAAGTCACCGATGACCGATATGGCGATGTACCTAGTTTCGGTACCTAGTTTGATCTGTGTATAATAAAACAATCTTAATTATTTTAAAAACTCGCCCTCGAAAGACCTTCGTCGACAGGAAATTACAACTTAAGCCTGCTGCATTAATTAATCAGTTTTCATAATTCTTAGTCCAAAAGAGCGTTAGCCCGAATGGGCTGTTAATCTTGAAACAGGATTTTGTACCAAATCATTTTTTAAATTGTTGCCACCAAACACAATCGCCCTGTATTATCTTTAAAGAAATTAAATAATAAGAATCTACACGTATACATGTGCACTATGAAAAAACGACGGTAACTTTGAATAATGCTGTCTTCCACCCGAACATGTGCACCCGGAAGCCGAATTTGGAATTTCAAATTTTATATTTTGTTAAGCTTTAATGAATTTTTGATTAACAAATTCAAGGGTTTGAAACGAGCGATGGCAAAACTGTGCGGAATAAAATATTTTTATCTCCAACGCGCGAGACTGTCTATCGGAAAGTGTAAAGGTACGCTGTGTTTAAAGATTTTGTGATTTTACTTTTGAATTGAAGTTTATGTCATATAAGTGCGAAGAACGCGATTTCTAATAAATGAAGTCAACACACAAAGCGTTAATGAAACAAACACAGGAAGAAGTTTTGTAAGCCATTTTACTACGAAACTGAACATTGATAATGAACTGAGAAAAGACTAAAAAAAAATCGAAATACGTAAGCCAACACATAACACAGCATTGGGAATTCTAAACATATGCCGCTTTAAAAATTTTTGTAATATTTCGATTGAATCTTATGTGGCGTAAGTGCGAAGCAAGTGGTACTTCATAAACAAAACCAGCAGGAGTGAGTGCAGTAGCAGACTGGAAGATTGTAAACTCAGCGTGAGCGTAAAATACCTTAACAAATCCTTGATCGTTAAAATCTGATCGCTCGCAAATTTTTTATAAGTTTTATTAGTTTATCGTCATTCTTTTAAATTTTAGTTTACTTTAATTCCTAATACACAGAGTATTAGTTATTTCAGTTCATTGATGATTCTTCATTTTCATATTTATTTAGAATTATATTGATTTAACTTTTTACGTTTCTCTCCCGAGTATATGCGTATGCACATAAATGCCAAGGACAATTTAGCAAACGCTTTTTTCACGCTACCTGAGACTTGTTGCTACAGGTTACTGTAAATATTTTCCTTTTTTGCTTTGTATGCAAGTCACGAAAATGTGTGTATCATTAGTGCCACCCGTATCGAAAGCTTTCACTCATAATTTGCGTGAAATATAGTAAAATTTTGTGTTTTCTTTCCGCTATTTATGTTAGAAACGACGCGAAAGATGGTGAAGTTTCGAAATGCAGTGAACATAAACAACATGGATAGAAATTTCCAAACACTGAATTCATCTCTAGATAGTTCGTTCGCAAATGTATACAAAGTTTATTGTTAACTTCTTATATCCAACTCATGAGCCAGTCATTTTTGATCATGCGAGTTCGTTTGTTTTTCTTCGGAAATCATATAAAGTATTACTGTTATTTATGTTGTAATGATTTTCCGTTGATCTAAATTACACAAGAAGAAAATACCTGATGTGGACACTACATGACTTGTACGGCTTATTAAATTATACACATCTTTTGCTGCATTTCATTTAAACTTGTATCACAGACGAATTTCTAATTCAATCAGTTCAGTTTTCACTTCGCGACAAGCCAAAAATACCTGAAAACTTTGTTAAATGCAGAAACTAAAACTCTAAATACTGTTAAAAACAGTTATAAAGCAATTTTTGCAATTAAAATTTAGTTTTACGTCAAAACAAGTAATCCGACAAGCGGGCTGGAAGATAAAATTTTCTGCACAAAACTGAAAGTTAACCTTATCGTCACACTGGGCAAAAAGAGAGTGAAGTTGGTGCACCAACTCGCTTAATTTCCTATTCTACTAACAGTTTCAAATGGAAACAAATGTCAGCCTCGTTAAGCTTAACTCCTCTTAAACTTTTAAATTATTGATAATTCTACAACTGTTGCATGCATTTAATTGTTAAAAATAGGCAGGAAAATCTCAACCAGAGTGTAAGACTAACATAATTCAATCACTTTTAA